TCTTTAAAAATACTTGTATATATTTGTAGTGTAGAAGTTGCTAATTATTTTGAGTGCTTCATTTGTATGTTACAAACTGATTAGGCCTCAGTCACGCAGGCTTAGAAACAGAGTAATGATGTGAATTGCCTGACCAGTTGTCAGCTGTGCACCAAACCCTCCCTGCAGGCCTCGACTGGGACAAAAAAATCGGCCCGGGCATTTTGACTAGAGACGTGCTGCTGTTGTTTAGTGCGACATCTGCTGGTTTCCTCTTTCTGGCGCAAAGTCAGCGATAAATAAACACGAGAGAAAAGCCGATCAGCTGATCATCAATCAGTTTCATGATTGAAGTAGCAACAGGAGAGGGAGGGGGGGATGAGAGAAGAAGAGGCAGCTGCAGCGTAAAGAGATAAATAAAATAAATCCAGATTTGTGTCTTTTTCTTTTTCATTCTAGCTGAAGTACGAGACAAATCGCGCTCCTTTCCACCTCAATACCATCTTCTTCTGTTTGTCTGTGATAAGACTGCTTTCAGAGCAAGGGGGAGGGTGTATCTGACCTCGGCTGTAACCACTCCAGCCCAGAGTCGATCATGAAACACTGGCCAATCCACCATCTTTCATTGTTTATACTGTTACAAAAAAACAGAACATTGGCCCACCCGGCAAATGCCCAATGGCCAGTCCAGCTGTGCCTCCCTGTGATTGGTGACTGCAGTCACTTGTAGCTTGCATGGGAGACATTGACTTGTCGGCAAGAACTCACCATTTACTCTCCAAGCTGCAGTGCAATTTGCAGCTGCTATCAGCCTCCTGTAACCACTCACTCAGACACTTTTTTACCCCTCAGCTGTAAAAGGCGAATGGGCCCAAGATTGTGAATGCGACAACTCGAGAAAATGGCAATGAAGGACTTTCAAATGGATACCATGTGTGTATCTAGTAAAAACGTCTGACGAGTTTGAATCTTAGTGACATCGGGCTCAAGGTCAGGGGTCAGAGGTCAATTTTTCTGACTATCTTGAGAATGCGATAACTTGAGATGGAAGTCACTTAGGATTATTAAATTCATATCTACTAGCAGGCTGAGGGGTACCACTTGCTACTTTTTTCCTTCACCATTTGGTGGTTGCCAGCTGGGTCACTTATCGGTCTGTATCCCTGGGTGACTGAGGCCTTGAGCAGCTTGTTTCATGCTCATGAACTCCAGCGAGTGTCATAAAACTGTTTTCAGTTACATTAAAAAAAATTGTGGGCATTGACCAGAGAAAGCAAAGAGAAGGTGCTTAAGGTCTTAATCTACGTTGTCCATAAGATTCTGTAACACTGAGAAGGCTTTAGAGTCTGTTCTGTCCAAGGGAGCCCACGGCAGAGTTATGGGTGAGATTTGGGAAAATCAGCGAAGGTATTCACGTACTTGGTGAAGGCAGTTAAGCCACAGTCTTTCAGGAATACTAAGGTTCAGTAAACAGCTCCACAAACCATCATCAGGCAGGCCGTGTTGTTAAGTTTTACCAGACCGGCAAAGACTGTAGCTGAGGACGTTTCCATGATGTTAAATGTAAAAACTCTTACTAACACTGAGAATATAAACATGAATATTGGCGTTGATGATGAGGATAAATGATGCGTACAAGACACCAAGTTTAGTATAAAAATCACACACACTGGCTCCTGTAGAGATTATTTTATTCCACATGTTATCATCAGCAACTTGGAAAAAAAAATCTTATTTGTTTCTGCTTCATGTTTTTATCTTGAAGGCACTGATGCAACAATGTTTATGGCAAAGTCTGACTCCAAAAGCAGCTGGTGGAGATTCTGACCCCCACCAATGACCACGAATATTATTTCTTCACCGTTCATCATGTCCCCACGAAAAAGAACCCTCGTCCCGGTAAGCAGCCGGCGGAAAGCAGCGGACGACTACTTCCCCTTCAACTTGCTGCCGGTGGAGTGCCAGCTGCACGTCCTGTCCTTTCTGAACGAGGTGGATAAGTGTAGCTGCGCCCTGGTTTGCGCGAGCTGGAGCTGCCTCGTCCGCTCGTGGAAGCTGTGGCGGGTGGCCGACTACTCCCGTCGCGTTGGTTTCCACCTCGGTCAGGAGGGGTTGCTCGTTTCCAACCGGGAGTTCGAGAGGTGGAAATCCTGGGTCCAGCACTACACCTACCACCTCATCTCCCGCCGGGCCAGCCTGCTCACGCTGAGGGCCAGCTTCGACCTGGGTGATCGCTGCAATAAGTGGGGCGAGCTGCTGAGCCACCTACTGGACAATGTCCACTGCAGAGACCTCAGCCACCTCGACCTTAACTGGACTTTTACTCTTCTAGAGCCGCTCGACCTCAGGGTCCACTCCAGCCCCAGTTCACACCAGGATAACATTACCAAAATAGACAAGGTAATTTGTTTCTACTGGTTTTATTTTCTAAGAACTGCCACCTTACACAGTTCAGGTAGAAAGAAATAAGTTTGCTTTATATCAAGCTAGAAAGCAAAACATTATATCAGGTATGAGAAGTCGTTTTTTCTTTATTTTGTGCTTTTTTTGTGCTTTTTTTGTGCTGTAGAATAAAAGAGAACAAGAGAAAAAGAATCAGGCATATTGTTGCTCTCTGGAGGTCTGAGCACAAACCCACGATTATATAATGTACAGGAGAGCATGAAGTCCTGATTTTTAGCAATCAAATTTTAACAGAGGCCATCCTGAAACAGGAAACAAGTAAATACCCCAAAACAGCTCCTCCTATTCTACATGTCAGTGCACATCCCACCTAAAAGTCCACAGAATCCCATCTGACTTAAACAAATAACTACATGGTCTATAACAGATACATATTTCTGTTTAACTCTGCATAAGTCAAATCTTTTCACGTGGCTCTAAATTGGTCCCCAAACAGCTTTGCCTATTTTGCGGTTTCTACTGAAAGAAGTTTGCAGTGTTGTTTGACGTGGAAAGTTAGTGATATTCAGCGATTTCAGGCCTCAGTGGATGAAATAACTTCAACAAGGATCAACTTCAAGGCAACTACCAATTAGAGCACAGGATACTGCTGATTGATATGTGATAAGGTAGTTCCTGTGTTGACGCCCATTTACCCAGTATTCATTTTAGTCAATTTTTCCCCAAGCGAGGCCATTATCTTTGTGCCTTTTTAAAGTTTGTTCAATTTTTAATCATTAAAATATGAAAAAACATCCTAACTTGGCAAAATAAATACAAAACCATAAAGATGAAAAAAAGGAGACAAATTACATTTTAAAAAATAAATAAAAAAATCTAAATGTGATGCACTAAGGAGCCAATCCAGTGAGTGATGCAGAGGGTGCTTCGGTTAGTGTTTATTGTCTTTTTGGAAATTCTATTTGTGGCAACTGTCAGGTGAACAAAAAAGACATCATATTCACAGTTACATGCATTAACAACAGCTGCGATTTCATCAAGAGTCAGAGCATCACAGCGTACAAGCTACACACCTCATGTCACCACAGTCGTTCATTAGATTTATACTAGAAGGTAGAAAAGAGGTGGTTCCCTGTAGGGCTGCCACGATTA